GAAAAATGTGTTATGGTCTGATGAAACCAACGTTCAACCTTTTGGCCATAATTCCAAAAGATATGTTTGGCGCAAAAAGAACACTGCATATCACCAAAAGAACACTATACCCCTAGTGAGCATGTTGGCGGCATAATGCTTTGGGGCTGTTTTTCTTCAGCTGGAACTGGGGCCTTAGTCAAGGTAGAGGGAATTATGAACCAATATTGGCACAAAACCTTCAGGCTTCTGCTAGAAAGCTGAACATGAATAGGAACTTCATTTTTCAGCATGACAACAACCCAAAGCATACAGCCAAATCAACAAAGGAATGGCTTCACCAGAAGATTCAAGTTTTGGAATAGCCCAGCCAGAGCCCAGACCTGAATCTGATCAAAAATCTGTGGGGTGATCTGAAGAGCGCTGTGCACAGGAGATGCCCTCGCAATCTGACAGAGTTGGAGTGTTTTTGCAAGGAAGAATGGGCAAATATTGCCAAGTCAAGATGTGCCATGCTGATAGACTCCCAAAAAGACTGAGTGCTGCAATAAAATCAAAAGGTGCTTCAACAAAGTATTAGTTTAAGGGTGTGCACACTTATGCAACCATATTATTTTAGTTTTTTATTTTTACTTCCCTTCACCTAATGGATTTCAGTTTGTTTTTGAGTTGTACAATTTATAGGTTACATTAAAGGTGGAAAAAGTTCTGAAATTATTTATCATTGTCTCTTTTACATCACAGAAACCGCACATTTTAACAGGGGTGTGTAGACTTTTTATATCCACTGTATGCTCTATTGTATAAGACATGTGTCATTGTCACTCATTGCAAAGTGGCTGGAGGAGATAAAACAAGACAGAATGGTAATGGACATTTCTGTGTTCCTGATGAATTTAAAATATAAGTTATTTTAATACATACTGGTTCATGTCTATCTATTCAAGCAAGTGAAGCAGGTTTGCAAACGTTTTTTTGCTTGCACGCACTATTGTAATGATTAAGCCCTTTTTAATGTCCTTCTGTAGAGACCTCTAAACGTAATACAATGCCAGTTCACCAGCAATAAATACTTACCTTCCTTTCACTTCCCAACACTATGTTCACCTACTGGGAGCAAAGGAGAGACCTGTGTAAGCTAGAATCATTGCAAAGCAATGGTCCCCCCGTGTGACAATGCAGACCCAAAGTGAGCTACATGAAATTCTATACCTGGAAGTGGCAGGTATTTTTCTTCATCTCCCGCAACTGAATAGAGAGCCTGGGACAGCGAAGGCAAGTAAGTATACTATATTGCCAAAAGTATTGGGACGCCTGCCTATATTGAGTTGGCCCACCCTTTGCAGCTATAACAGCTTCAACTCTTCTGGGAAGGCTGTCCACAAGGTTTAGCAGTGTGTCTATGGGAATGTTTGACCATTCTTCCATAAGCGCCATTTGTGAGGTCAGGCACTGATGTCGGTTGGGAATGCCTGGCTCGCAGTCTCCACTATAATTCATCCCAAAGCTGTGCTATCGGGTTGAGGTCAGGACTCTGTGCAGGCCAGTCAAGTTCTTCCACCTTAAACTCGCTCATCCATGTCTTTATAAACCTTGCTTTGTGCACTGGTTCGCAGTCATGTTGGAACAGGAAAGGGTCATCCCCAAACTGTTCCCACAAAGTTGGGAGCATGTATTTGTCCAAAATATCTTGGTATTTTGATGCCTTAAGGCTTTCCTTCACTTGAACTAAGGGGCCAAGCCCAACCCATGAAAAACAACCCCACACCATAATTCCCCCTCCACCAAACTTTACACTTGTCACAATGCAGTCAGGCAAGCATCGTTCTCCTGGGAACCGCCAACCCAGACACGTCCATCAGGTTGTCAGACAGAGAAGCATGATTTGTCACTCTAGACAACACATCTCCACTAGAGTCCAATGGTGGTGCACTTTACACCACTGCATCCGACTCTTTGCATTGCACTTGGTGATGTAAGACTTGGATGCAGCTGCTTGGCCATGGAAACCCATTCCATGAAGCCCTCTACGCACTGTTGCTGTGCTAATCTGAAGGCCACATGAAGTCTGGAGGTCTTTAGCTGTTGACTCTGCAGACAGTTGGCGACTTCAGCATGCGCTGACCCCGCTCTGCCATTTGGTCTACCACTTCATGGCTGAGTTGCTGCTGTTCCCAGTAGCTTCCACTTTGTTATAATACCGCTAGCAGTTGACCATGTTATATTTAGTAGCAAGGAAATTTCACAGGTGGACTTATTGCACAGGTAGCAACCTATCACGGTACCACACTTGAATTCACTGAGAGTGACCCATTCATTCACAAATGTTTGTAGAAACAGTCTGCATGCCTAGGTGCTTGATTATATACTCCTGTAGCCATGGAGGTGATTGGACCACCTGAATCCAATGATTTGGAGGGCTGTAGCAATTCTTTTGGCAATATATTTCTAATGTACAGCGCTGAGCAAACCCTTTGGCGCTATATAAATACTCTATAATAATAATAATAATAATAATAATATAGTGTGTCTACTGGGGTATATGGGACCTAAACACAAACACGATGCTTTGTCCTGAATGGGCAAAGCACGTTTACTTTAAGGTGCAGTTTTCCACCAAGGATCCTCAAAAAGATATTTGGCTTTGGTTGTGTGACATTTCCAGATCATAGTTCTGGGGTTTGCCCAACTAATAAGACCTGGAAAAGAACAGGCAACAAACATCCAATTTATGAATAAGAGTTTAAACAAGCAGAGGTTTTGAAAGGTTGCATTCAGGCTGAATTGTTACCCAGGTGGAAGGTCCTTATTATTCCTAATTATGGGGAGTAGACTGCATGTATATACACCCAACCGGCATCAGAGGAGAATGTACAGTCCAAATAAGTGCATGGGAACCAGTTGTCACATTGGGCTGTTTCACTAGAGTTATTCTTTAAGAAATTATTTCAGCAAATAAACACATTTTATACAATATAAACATGTACATTGCTAGCCCATAATGACCTTTCCCTTACTTAATTATGTGAAATTGTATACTACCAGATATTACCAATGTATGAGTAGTTGCTACAGGCTACAGCAGCGTGTCACATTATTAACCAAGCATTACATTAACCTCTATTTGACATTTTAATAATTTATTTGCCCGGTTTCCTTTCAAGACGCATTATTTGGACACAAACAGCAGAAACAATTTTTCATTAAAGCACAGGGAGCTGTCTATTCCAGCTCTCCGCTCTTATATTACAAGCAGAGTGTGCTGATGTTAAAGCTTCTGGCCAAGAACAATAAATCTGATTTTAAGCGGGGGGAAAAATAAAACACTGGAGATAAAGTGCTCCCTCTCCCCACACTTTGTCACTAATATGCTTTCCACAAGAGCTTATAAATGACCTTTAGTTTTATAGTGCTTGGAAGATACTCTGCAAAGCGCAGTTATAACTGCTGCTGGGCTACAGGAATCGCACTGGCGATGATCACAACTGGAACAGAGAGATATACAGGAGGAAAAACAAGAAACAAACCTGAAATAAAGATTTTAAGCCTACATGCTACAGAATTTTAGGGAAGGCAGTAAATTTGTGAGTGCTTGTATACAGGCAGTCCCTAAGTTACAAACATTGGACTTACATGCGACTCATCCTTAAGAACGCTGCAGCGTGACATCAAGCTGGTCCCGGAAATCTCCAGGCTTCAATCTTGCTGCTCACTGCATGCTGCCCCTCTACTGTCTGGCGGAGCTGTCAGCTATCCCACATCACTGCATGGCCAGTTAAACCCTTCCCTATGCTATCCAAAACAAAAAAAAAAATTTTTTGGGCTAGACTCACACTTAAAAAATGTACCTGTTCCAACTTAGATACAAGTTTATTTAAGAACATACTTACAGAACCTATCTTGTTCATAACTTGGGGACTGCCTGTACTCCAACTATTTCAAAACATTAGAGAGTGGGGAAGCAGAAACAAAGTTGACCGTTCTGGAACTTAAATTTTTAAAAACATTGGGTGATGGGCACTTCCATGTTTCTATTCAGCTGCATTTCCCTTATTGCTATCTTGACTGGTCCCTCTTAAACTCACTGCCTGGGCCCTGATGCTTTATCAGCAGGGGGACAGCAGGACAGAACAGTCTTTTCTAAAAATCACCAGCCATGGCTTCCATAAGCAGCCAAAATTCTGGAAGAAGTTCAGAATATTTGCCAACCATGGTCCAGTTCCCAACCCCCTATTTCCAAAGAAAACTGCCTATACAGTTTAGTGGCGCCAGCAGGTAAAACTGTGCAGTTTTAAAGTGGAACTATAGTGCATCTGAGCACCACAAACCAAAAACACCATTTAATTCATTTTTAATATCCAAAGCAAACTCATTCATCCATCCATGCTTCATTTTGCTGAGAAATCACTTTGAAAAATACCCCCTATCATTACTGGCTGTGGCCATCTTGAGCAAGGGCAGATGAATTATGTAGAATTTAGTTCTGCTTAATGTGGAATAATGCTTTTGCTATAGCAGTAGGCCATTTACTTACCTCCCCATGCTTGCCTAAAAAAATCTCCCAAAGATGGGGTTCACCTGACCCACTCACTGCCACCCTTACTCTTATTGTCTGAGCCTTGCAGGAACTTACATATTAATATTAAAAGAAATGTGGGTACTTGTAAAAGATAGCTGTATGTAAATATTTGTTTAAATACTATAAACGGAAAAGCTACTGTATTTTTCACACCATAAGACGCACTCCCCCCCCCCCCCCCCCCCCCCCCCCCCCCAAACATGGGGGAAAATGTCTGTGCGTCTTATGGAGAGAATATGGAGTGGCCGGCCAGATATTCCCACCGCTGCCGTGTTAGAGTACCGGGCCGGCCGCTTGGCTCTTCTGTGCAGCAGAACTTGCTCCTCGGTCCAGCTGTGTCCTCACCATCTTCTCTCCTTGGTGCTGGCATCTTTAGTGTGGGCACCCGGCTGTGATAGCTTGAGGCTTAACAGCCGGGTACCCACTGTGCATGCACAAGAAGCGCTGCACTTTGTGAATGGTCCAGCAGTATTCTGGGACCTGTCATGTGTCCCAGAAGACAGGGAGGGAGGACCCCCTTCCACTCCCCAAAGGTCCGCAGTCTCTGGTCATCTCCTGTACTACGTCTGCAGTCTCTGGTCATCTCTTCTACTACGTCCGCAGTCTCTGGTCATCTCTTCTACTACGTCCGCAGTCTCTGGTCATCTCCTGTACTATGCCTGCAGTCTCTGGTAATCTCCTGTAGTATGTCTGCAGTCTCTGGTCATCTTCCTCTACTACGTCTGCAGTCTCTGGTTCATCTCCTCTACTACGTCCGCAGTCTCTGGTCATCTCCTCTACTATGTCCGCAGTCTCTGGTCATCTCCTGTTCTACGTCCGCAGTCTCTGGTCATCTCCTCTACTACGTCCGCAGTCTCTGGTCATTTCCTCTACTACGTCCGCAGTCTCTGGTCATCTCCTCTACTACGTCCGCAGTCTCTGGTCATTTCCTCTACTACGTACGCAGTCTCTGGTCATTTCCTCTACTACGTACGCAGTCTCTGGTCATTTCCTCTACTATATCCGCAGTCTCTGGTCATCTCCTCTACTATGTCCGCAGTCCCTGGTCATCTCCTCTACTATGTCCGCAGTCTCTGGTCATCTCCTGTACTATGCCTGCAGTCTCTGGTAATCTCCTGTAGTATGTCTGCAGTCTCTGGTCATCTTCTGTACTATGTCTGCAGTCCATTGGTTCAGAATATTTTTTTTCTTGTTTTCCTCCTCTAAAACCTAGGTGTGTCTTTTTTCAGGTATTTACCAAAACATATTCAAGCTATAGTTATATAATGGATATGGGCTGAAAGTGCACACTCTCAGGTTTAATTTGAGGGAATGTACATCCAAATTGAAGTAAGGGTTTAGGAATTACAGCTCTTAAGAGTAGCCAACCCCCCTTTTTCAAGGGACTAAAAGTAATTGAACAATTGAATATAATCATAAATAAAATGTTCATTTTTAATATTTTGTTGAGAATCCTTTACTGGCAATGACTGCCTGAAGTCTGGAACCCATGTACATTACCAAAGACTGGGTTTCCTCTTTTTCTGATGCTTTGCCAGGCTCTAACTGCAGCTGTCTTCAGTTGTTCTTTGTTTGTGGATCTTTCTGCCTTTAGTTTTGCCTTCAGCAAGTGAAATGCATGCTCAATTGGGTTGAGATCAGGTGATTGACTCGACCATTGCAGAATATATTCCACTTCTTTCCCTTCAAAAGTTACTGGGTTGCTTTTGTAGTGTGTTTTGGATCATTGCCCATCTGTAGTGTGAAGCGCCGTCCAATCAACTTTGCTGCATTTGGCTGAATCTGGGCTGACAGTATATCTCTAAACACTGCAGAATTCATCCAGCTGCTTCTGTCTTCTGTCACATCATCAATACACACCAATGACCCAGTGCCGCTGGAAGCCATGCATGCCCATGACATCACACTGCCTCCACCATGTTTTACAGTTGACGTTGTGTGCTTTGGATTATGAGCTGTTCCAAGCCTTCTCCACACTTTTTTCTTCCCGTCATTCTGGTACAGATTACTCTTAGTCTCATCCATCCACAGAATGCTTTTCCAGAACTGGTCTGGCTTTTTTAGATGTTTTTTTGGCAAAGTCTAATCTGGCTTTTCTCTTCTTCAGGCTTATGAATGGTTTTCACCTTGTGGTGTACCATCTGTATTTGCTTTCGTGAAGTCTTCTCTTGATTGTAGACTTTGCCAATGATACGCCCACCTCCTGGACAGTGTCCTTCACTTGTTTGGATGTTGTGAATGGGTTTTCTTTTACCATGGAGAGGATCCTGCGATCATCCACCACTGTTGTCTTCTGTGGACATCCATGCCTTTTTATGTTGCTGAGCTCGCCAGTGCGTTCTTTCCTCAGGATGTACCAAACTGTTGATTTGGCCACTCCTACTGTTGCTGCAATCTCTCTGATGGATTTGTTTAATTTTTGAAGCCTTACAATGGCTTGTGTCACTTGCATGGACAGATCCTTTGACCGCATGATGTAGGTTCACACCAATAGATTCCAAATGCAAATACCACACTTCGAATCAACTACAGATCTTTTACCTGCTTAATTGATGAAGAAATTACAAAGGAGTAGCCCACACCTGGCTATAAAACAGCTTTTGATTCAATTGTCCAAGTATTTTTGGTCCCTTGAAAAACTGAGGGTGGATACTCTTAAGTGCTTTAATTCCTAAACCCTGTCTCCAATATGGATGTATATACCCTCAAATTAAACCGGAGAGTGTGCACTTTCAGCCCATATATAACTATAGCTTGAACATGTTTTGGTAAATACCTAAAAAAATCTAAATTTGTGCCTGTGTCCAAATATATATGGATCTAACTGTATCATCTATTATTTCTGTTAATATTGAGTCCAACTTACTTTGTCGGGTTGCAGGCTGGGGCAGGTCCAAGATCAGTTTTGTTTTATTGGACTTTTACTAAATTCTGTAACATCTACTGAAACAGAGCATCTGTTAAACAGTTATTTATTGGTAGAATTTATAAGGTTGAAGTTTTGTCAATTTAAGAAAACATCTTAGTATTCGTACTTCGTATTTCATTTTCCTCCAAGACCACATTTTGCAAGCCGAGCCAAAATACACATAGTCAACAGTGTGTTGCCCTTGGAATTATCTTAATATGTTGGCAGCTATAGTGCAGAGATAGAACTGTATACAAATAAAAATCAGCCAAGTATGTAAAATACCAAATTTGTACTTTATCTGTGAATCTTCTGGCAGCATGTCATTAAGGAGGGTATTTCTAGGTCTAACTTTTCTCTGAAATGAGTTTTATGCAGCTTTGAGGTAATGTTTTGAAGGAAAGAAAAAAAAATGTTTACAAGCAGCTCAAATTTGAATAGAAACGAACCAACCAGTGTATCGATTTGAGGTGTACCACAAATCCAGAGAGCTGGAAAAATCTGATACTGAACAGTCAATCCTCAGTGAATCTTGTTTTGCGTAGTTTCACAGAGTATCTGATTGAAGCACTGCATAGAAAAACGCAACTGGATCAAGTCATAAATACCACTAAATTGGTAATCACGAAATAGGACCTTCTACATTCTATTCTGCAAAAAGACAAGTCCTCTTATGTCAAACAATCATAAAACTAAATCACAATTGTTGGCAAAATAGTCAACCAGAGAAGAACTTTTATAACTAAATCTTGCAGTATTAAGGTCCTGGTTTAAATCCCAACATGGCGGTTTGTATGATTTTCTCCATGGGCGTCTTTTAGATGCTCTGGTGTTGGCCCACAAAGAGGAAATCATACAGTAAACTGTGAATAAAAGGGTGTTTTTCATGTGTTACACACTATTTTAAAGTATATGTCAACCCAACATGTCATATTCCTCATACTGAATGCGCTTGCTGTACCATGTACTTTTATGAAAAAAGTACCCTGTTCTCTTGCTTCCTTTGTGTGAAATCCCTGGTGTTTCTGTCAGTCTGATTTTCAAATAAATAATGACCACGCTAGGCATGAGAGCACAGCGTGGTCACAGTTCTCACTGTCAAGGAAGTCAGCCTGCTCTCCTCCAATGATCAGACTTAAGCTAACACCCCCTTCTCCAGCACAACCATTTATTGGGAAGATCAGTGTTCTGCTGTTTCTCGTAGAAGCTGTCGGGTTTTTATGGTTCATGGCTCTGTTAGAGACTTATCCTCAAAAACTGTCACTCTGACGATGGTTTCTAGCAGAAAATCTCTGACAGTAACACAGAAAGAAGTAACATTGTAGGTTTCGGTAACATAAGAGAAAGCCTTGCTTTCTGTATGCCTATCATAGATTCCTCCTCACTTTTTGGCAGGGGAGATGTTGTCACCAGGAACGTAATAGAGCTGAAATTTCTCTAATGGAATCCTGGGAAGTGGTACGAATCTAAGAGGTTTTAAACCTTCCCCCAGTCTTACCAATGCGAAGAAAAACGTTTTGGCTGGACATACACTTTAGGCCTAAAACCCTGGTCTTTCCACTGTCAAATGCCAGAGTCCCTTCCACTTGAGAGCTAAATGAAAGGGGTGGAAGGCTTAATCATGACATTGACAGGAGTCAAAACCCCAAATATTGCCTGGGCAGTTGATACAAAGGGATCCACAGGGACATAGGGATTGAGCTGAAGACCAATACAGGTACCAATAGCCACCACATAATATATTCACTTAAAGTTTTAGGGGACTTAAATTTAGAAAAAAAATAAAAAAATTTGAACCAGGTGTCCTTTCTGCTACTGGATTGGCTACTTTCATACATTTTCCCTCTTCTCCATTTTCCTTCTACCTAGCACTTCTCTACAGTTCTATTAGAAGGAAAACTCATAAAATTTTATGGAACTTTTATCTACACAGAAAATAACGCATAAACTTTCCATATGTTGCACATCGCAGGTAGATTAAACTTCATATGCTTTACTGCAATGAGGTATTTTCTGAAGCTTTTCTTTTAGCCGGCATAATGAGTATAGGCAAATTCATTTGATTTCTCGCAGATAGAGGAGACTGTAGTATGTGCACAAATCACAAGTCAATTACACAATGTCAGCCTCTAGGATAAAAGGAAATGATTTATTATCCGTCCACACATACTGGATACTCTTCTTATGCCAAACATGTATTTTAGGGAGAAAAAGTTCTATTACTCTACATTAAAAATGCAGCTGTGATTTATTCAGTCCACATGGGACTAAAAGTAAAAGGCTCGTCCCTGTATGAAAGCCATAGAGGCCATTGAGAAAAGGGTAATCATAAAGAATGGCATTGTGGGTATCCATCACATTAAAAGCAGTTTTTTTTCTGTAATTTGCCTGCCTGTTAAGCTAATCCTGCAACTTCACTATTTAGTGAGTTAAAAATGTGGAACAAAAAAATGCTGAAGTCTGACTTCACCAGTTGCGCATGTGTTCTGGTTCAGTGATTAAAGTGCATAGTCAGACAGTAACATGACAAGTAGCATCTTCTGAATATAACAGAAAAAGTACTGTCTCATGAAGGTTCCAGTTAAGAGTAAGGAAACTTTTCCTACTCTTTAGGTCCGTCCCACCACCCTAAACAGGTGTAGCCACCCTCCTCTCCTCCCCAAACTGCGATAGTGTGCTGGATCTTACTCAAAGGCCCATGGCATTGTTCACATCCCTCAAGCAGCTTCCTAATACAATGTCTAGCTTGCCCACATAGAATTCTTTGGGTTTCATAGCCTGATTAGTTCCCATCCGTCTGGGACTATGGTAGGAAAACGTTGTACTGTGCACTCATAAGTCTATTAGGCCTAGTTCACACTGGCATAGTTACATAGTTAGTCTGGCTGAAAAAAGACAAACGTTCATCCAGTTCAACCAAAAAAAAAAAAAGTTATAAACCTATACCCACAGTTGGAAGAGGAAGGCAAAAACCCAGCGATGCATGGACCAATTTTCTCCTGCAGGGAAAAAAAAAAATTCCTTCCTGATCCCGAGAGGCAATTGGATATTCCCTGGATCAACTTTACCTATAAATGTTAGTATCCAGTTATATTCTGTGTATCCAAGAAATAATCCAGGCCTTTTTTAAAGCAATCCACTGAGCTGGACAGAACCGACTCTTGAGGAAGTCTATTCCACATTTTTACAACACTCACTGTGAAGAAACCTTTCTGAATTTGGAGATTACATTTCTTTCCAA